ACACACACACACACACAGACACACACTTACACTACACGCACACACACGCACACACACACACAAACTCACACAAACACACACACACACACACACACATATACAGACACACACTTACACACACTGTGTGAGCTGCTAAGTACATATATGTTCTAGTTAGGTATCTAGACAAACAGCGCTTGGCTTGATCATTGGGTCGCAGTAGCCCATCAAGCTATTGTCACCATTTCAATTGTTTCACACGTGTGATACTGTACACCCACGTGAGTGCTGAGTGCTTACAGATGCTGGGTCCTGATACATAATCGTGTGCACCCGTTTCTTCTAATATGGCACGCCCAGGTGCTTTCAGCTATTTATTATAATTTATCGCGACACAGTGCGACGATGCCACGAGGAAGCTTTCTTCAACATGTGAATTCAGATTGTATCTCATCCATGCCAAACTCGGGCGAGGTATGGTCAAGCTCAAAGTAAAGCTTTCCATTATTATTTGTGTTAGATGCTTGTGGTTTTTTTCTCGCCTGTTTCATTGCTTTTCCTATTCAAAATGATATTCTCGATTGTTCCTGTTTGACAGATGACTACCAGCTCCGATTTTACCATGTCATCGCAAGCTATGAACGCCGGGTTCGGATGCGAGTACAAATACTATTCCACCACACTGGACAGTCTACCTGTGAGCTTTTCGGAGCTCGATTTGACGGTGAGTAGTCTGGAGATATTTTGCTATGAGTTTCAAACATTCGTTGTATGTATGTTCTTCTAATGTATATGGCTCTTATACTTTTCGCCTACAGAGCTCTGGTGTAATCCCTGGAATCGACCTACCATTACTGGTCAGCCGAGGGGTATTGCAGTCAAACGAAGATTCTTCCGAAGGTGCTTTCGCAGATTTCGCCCTCGTCTTCACCGGCGCTCTCGAGGTGTGAGAGTCTTGCGGTCTATACCTGTCGACTCCTAGATGATACACTGCTGAGTTTCAGCTCCACATGTATTCGACCGCAGATCTAGCGCGCATGTTGAAAATAACTCGTGTGATACCCAAGTTATTGACGGTGCGAAAACTTATTCAATTCTCCTCTAGATCACAACGGCTGGTCTATACAATTTTTACACGGCTTCTAATGACGGATCTAAGCTATACCTGAACGATGAGCTTATAGTTGATAACGACGGCAAGCACTACGTGGTGGAAAAACAGGTATGTCCAGGGACCTATAATTCTGTAAATATCGGGTAGCTAGAAAGTTTGAAAAGACACGAATTGTACAGTGGATTGGTTTTCGAGTCCGTAATTGTTTTTCTGCCTCAGAAGTTGTAGCAGGCTAGGCAATATGACCGTGATTTACTCCGCCAATGCTTTACATGTATGTGTAATTTTATATTGCGCAGGGTAACATCGAACTTTGTACTGGATTCCACGCCTTTAGATTAGAATACTTCCACACGTGTGGAAAGCTCCTGGAAGGGATTCGTGAAGGTAGGTAAGCTCTGAGTGCGGTCACTCGAGGGTACACAACGATGTGTAGATCAAGTATCTCATGCCTTCCGTCTCTTCGAAAATACACTCTGGTACATGTTTATTGGCAGCAGGCAACACAAACGATTCTTCTCCTTCTACGCAGGTGCATATTTGAGCTTCCAATATTCGTTTAAAGGCACCAGCTGGTATGGAACCGACGCGATCCGTAAACAGGAGATACCGCTGACAAGACTACGGCTTCCGCGATTAATTGACATCAATGAAGGTAAAATATGGTCTGATACTTCGGATGATAAACAGTCTTTTCCATCGCCGAATACGAGTCGGATGTTGATACACGTAAAAACCAATTTACTTACAACATTGGACTGGCACATTTAATGGCAGATCTATCGAAATCTAAGACGTCTCGAAGTCGTGCCACGAGTAGCGCAATGTCTGGGCTGAGCTCGAGCGAGAAGATGCCAGCGTTGGACATGGCAACTCTAGACGCCGAGGAGAAATGGAGACACTACGAGGGGGTAATTGAGAAACTGACTATAGAAAGAGACGAATATGCCAAGCGTGTAACGGAGCTGAAGGATGCAAAAGCACGCATGAAAGAGCAACACAAAAAAGATCTCACTGACATCCGAGCCACGCACCTTGCCGATACCGAGTATCTGAAACAGGTACCAGGTCATTTCGAAATATATTTCGATGTGAATTCACGTCTCTCGCAGTGATGAATGGTTTCAGAACAACCATTCCAATTTACTCGGCTTAATATATCTTGTTTCCTCGCACGCGTACAAGCGTTAGGCCTGTGTACAAAGTGTATTAGCAGCCTAGTAGCATACGAATACTGACCGAATGTTCTCTTGTCTGTCACTTTTAGCATTTATTCATCTCCATGGTGGCTAGTCATAAGCAAAACATCGCCGCAACGAATGCGACGGTGGGCGCTCTGCCAGCAGGTGCTAATGTATCAGCGCAAGATTTGTTCGAGGTAAGCGCAAGTACCCCAATGCTGTAGCAATTGTGTGGAAAATGCCATTCCTGACACTAGTACGGGTATATCGTGAGAACGTTTGATAATACACGACACGAGCGTATACATAATAGTTCTATCAACATTCTATCGACCCTGAATACATGTAGTTGGCAGAAAAGTATGGGGTATCGGCTAACAAATGGGAGAGATTCATATTGGATGCGCTACACAAGGGGACAGCACAATGCGAACGCGATCTTCAAGATGACGAACAAATCTTAACTTTTACTGATGGCTTCACCAAGAGTGCTAAGATAACTGGCAGTAGTACATCGCAGAGTTTAGAGGTAAGTTCAGATTGCATGTTGTGTACGGTTTGTCCTAATCATCGAACTGTTATTGCATTTAAGTTTGCGCCTTTCCTAATCATCGAACTGTTATTGCATTTAGGTTTGCGCCTTGTAGATTCAGTACCTAATGCGGCCTATTGATAACTCATTTGTTAAAATACAGCCATTCGGAAAGTATACAACCCCGAAGAGGAAGGAGAAAGTTGGCAATACAGCATGATCATCGAATATATTGGTCCGCGACCATCTCGCCATATGAGAGATATAGATCCTACAGTGTGATTCTCAGGGTCTGAAAATTTTTTAGTAATTACATGTGCTGAGGAGTACCTGAATATTTTATTTACTGGTTGACTCGTAACCAAGTACGACTTATGAAAAGCTGTTTATTAGTGCTGTCGAGAAATTCGCCTTTGTAGAGGTAGAGTGAATCTTTCACGGATGCTTAACAGCCTCCTGACAGGCGCGATTAATATAAGAAAGCTGAAGTAGTACGACCTTTGATAATTGAATATTGAAACGGCCATCGGAAGCAGGCAGCATGCAACAGGCCAGATCAGACATGTCAATCAAACGTAAATACACGTCGCTTAAGAAAACTCATAAAAAGTCGCTTATATCATCTATACGACGAAGAGATTCTAGATTGTCAACAGTCATTGAATGCTGCTATCCATTCAGTGCTTGTATCCAATAGTTACGAGCATAAGATGATATCATGAATTATCTCACCGCTGACTCGCTATTTCCTTGTTTAAATCCGACAGTAGGCAATCCATTTGTTCCACCATTCTGCGGTTGTTTAGTTTCGTGGACATTGACTTGTCGTTGGGGTTAGCTATATATTTTCCGGGGACTGCTACTATATCGCCGCGCGGAGTCTTTGTATGGGCACCATCTGTCCGATAGGTTCTGCGGCGACACTATACACTCGTTCTGAGTAGGAGTGATAGACAGAAAGGTCATGGGTTGAGTGAAGCACTCAGCAAGGCATATAATCCGACAGTCGCTTTTGAGGCACAAACCCAACACATATTTGCATGTCGTCGTGTATGTAGTTTACGATAGCCCATATCATGATATATACAAGAAAAGTGCTTACACATAAACGTCCGCATGAGAGAGTCAGATATACGCATGCAAAGGAATCCGCGAGTGGCTATGAACACATCAGACATTTGCGATATCTGAATGGTGGGCATGTAATCGATATAATACGTATTGCAGTTTCGAATTACTATTACATATACTATCGAGCGAGCGTGTGTGCAAGATTTCAATACCAAACCTGATAGATGAATAATTTTGCAACTTATTTGCTGTAGCTTCTAGATCGGCTGACAGCTAGGGTCTCTAATATGTGACACAAAAATAAGAATTACCTCCAGGTCGAAACGTTCTTGTTTCTCCGCTATTTTGGTTAGCAGCTCAACATCCCGTATGAGTACGTGTTTCCCACTTTGGTACCTCAACAGCTGTATGTACGGAACGACACGAGATAAGTTAAATACGAACGCCTCAGTACACATCTCATATAACAAAATAAAGATCCTGAAGAAGTATCAAATCGACCGTCGCATTCTGAATTACCTTCAGATCCAGTAGAGTATTGACAATATCGTGTTCGGTGAAACCGGTGCCTACACACAAGTCTGCGAGAGAATATTTGTATATTAGTAGAAATCCTCACGTGTAGAAAGAAAGAAATTGTACTGAACGATTTAAGCTATTACCAAAACTGTAAGATACATGAATCAGAACTATTTCATCACTACACGCACCTTTCACACTCAATGCGCTAGCTTCCCGATGATCATACAGATAGGACAGCATCACACTGGACCAATAAGCCTTGTAACTGATCTCGCCCAATTTGGATAGAGGCCGTTCTGGCGAGCCCAATTTTTTCTCCTTGCGCGACAGCAGATAACCTAAGCATCGAATGCGTGGCATTAGTATATTTATTTGACTTGCAAACAAGTTTTCAACGCTACAGGAAAATGGACATTGCAATATATAGAGATTCACATACTGAAGTCAATAAGCATCCTTCCGTATCCTTTCCTCTGACAGTGCGGCAGGGTCATAATGCAACTCAGGTTGTACCCCATCTGCGAATCTTTCTCCTTTTGAAACGAATTCAGAAAATGTGGTCAGTTCATGCAATGCAAAAGAGCATGCTGCGGTCATGACGGAGGAAAAAACACCGGGCCCCACCCGACCGTAAAACCACATCTTTATAAATTTGTATCTCACTTACACACCTTCGAAAAGTACCCGACTAAATGATAACCAAATTTGTCGTAAGCAGTAAGGACGTAGAACATGAATGACTCGACATCATAGTAGAGAGTTTTATGATCTAAGAAGAGCTTCGACAGCAAGCACAGATTCTGACAGTAGATCTGGGTGAATGAAACGCGAGGTGATGTGTTAAGATTCGATATCGCTACAACATCAAATTCAGTGACAATTGTGGCTCAAGTGTGAAATGCCCTTCCAAATTACAAAAATACATCTACTGCAAGTTTTAATGAAATATACCTTGTTCCTATTCCCGTCAACCTCAAAAATAGACATTTTGCCTTTCCTGTAAATCTCGTCTCCAGGGGGGCAAAACCGATCACAGGTTTGTCTATGCCGATCCAAAATCACAGCGCTCTTCATGTATCTGTATATATATACAATAATGTCAGCTACATAAATCAACGTAGTATACGCGATAGTCAAGTTATCATACTTTAAATAGCCCACAAATAAAAAAAATCTACATACCCCAAGCAGAATTCACAAAGAAAGATCCTTGGCAAGCGAGCATACTCCTCAGGATACGGAGCGGAGTACCACGTCTTCAAGGTATAGGCACCGAAGATAATGGCCTCTAATTTTTTCGTATAACTAATACCCGAGTATTCTGACCGTAGTAAATCCACGGCTTGGATTCGCGCACTCTCGAAATTCACTATATCGGCCTCTGTTGGGTGTATGGCTGAGTCATCGCCTATGACAGTCTCCTGCGTGATTAACGTTCGAGTATCTAGCTTCGAAGGGTAAATAAATGGTTCCCAGTACGATGCTTTGTGCGCACTGGCGTTGTTTGGGTGTGGAATGGCAGGTGTTGAATTTCTTTCGGGGCCAGACAAATCGATCGCCGAAGACGATCTTACCATCTGAAGAGAGTGTGTGTTGTTGCCTTGCCGCCTGTGCAGGTTCGATTGGTGTGATGGTTCATTCGCAGACAATCTTCTCTTCATTGGTGGTTTCTGCTGTCCGTCTGTATCTGGAGGATTGAGGATAGGACACCTGCGGTACAATACAATAGCAATGTGTGTTAGAATGTGTGTGTAGCGGCATGTATCAAGCTCACCAATACTTTGTATAGCGAAAGATATAAAAACAACTCAAACATGAAGTCCATACCCCGACGGCGTCTTGTGCGTAGCGTAGAGTCCAGTCGAGTGGCCACTACCGTCGCAACCCGCGATGGGGCACATGCCTTTGCCCGTATCGCTTGCAGCTTTGGTCTCTCCGCGGTACATACCAAGCGGGTCAGAGCCGCCCGTGAGTCGGTAAAGGTTGGCGCCGCTGCTCGTAGGTGCCTGTTTGTTTATTAACGTACCCCCTAGCTTCACCAGCAAGGAAGTATCCTTCTTGTGCTTCGTCGTCGGGCGCGATCCGGCGTGATCCGGAGCGGTAGAGCTACTACTCCGGGAGAATATAGTTCGCGCTGCTTTAGTCGATGGACCTGCAAGGTAGTCATCGGTCTCGTCGCAGGACGTATTGCTTGCTGAATAGTCAATGTCTGAAATCTTTCGTCGTTTTTTGGATTTACCACCTCGCCGCGCATCACTCTTAGACTTCATCTTCCCAGCTGCCTGTTCTCTGCATGCGACACAGTGCCACTCCTTATTCGGATCGGGCATTTCTTTTAGGGGCGGGTCAAGACACGATGCATGCGTACCTGAATCGCACAGATCGCACAACAGCATCTCATTGTCCCCGTCACCCTCTTCACACACCACACATCTCTTGCACACCATACATGTCCATGAATCCGTACTGTAGTACAAATTACGGGCGAGAATTTCGCTAAAACCTAGACACCGTGCGTGCCCCGCGTTCGGGCATCCACTCAGTGTACACACCAGCAACTTATCAAGCGGGTTAGGGTTGACATCAGAACACGTCGTGGAAGTCCTACATTCAGAGCAGACCGGTATAACCTCTGCTTCTTCATCCTCAATAGATTCTTCTTTGGGATCACGCCTATAAGTTTCCTTCCTTGGCCTGCCCCTGCCCCTCTTCTTTATTTGCGGCTTACCGGAACCTGGTGTGTTCTGCGAACCATCGATGGTGATATTTGTATTCCCTGATGTATGAGAGTAAGTATTCGATAATAATTTTATGGGATTACGGCGTCATAAATCTAAAGTGCGACAATTTGAAGACACAGGATAAAACGGGTCCAATGCCGCTTGAGGTAGTACTTAGTTCCAGAGACTAGAGATGGACAATAGTATAGAGACACATGCTTCGTATGTTGCCATACCTCTAGCCTCAGATTCAGCAAGAGAACACAGAGGTTTGGCATAGACAACGGTCAAGATACAAATGCTTCGATGTTATTATACCTTTAGTACCTTTTCCCGGTGGATCTGACTCGACATCGATAGGATTCCGTCTGCAGAAACAGCAGGAACAAACAAAAGACGTTAGCTAACTTGAATAGAACTTTTGTCGCGAAACGCTTTTCTTGCAAAGAATGCGATTTATCTTAATCACGTATGAGGGCAAGAGGTAAAACTAACACAATGGAAGACACAAAACAACTGTTCAGTGGTATGGGCAGAGTTACAATATCTCCTCAGAATCATATGAGACCGCATAAGCAGGACAGGGATACATTTTGCGCAAGGAAAATTCAACAAATGGTCAGGTTGCATGTTCAAAATTGAAACAATCAATAGCATCGTATCCCAGATCCTGAAAGTGACATGCTCAGGCACAGATTACGTGATGAGATACAAGGCTAAAATTTTAGGTGGCGTGTGTACAAAAATACGTGTACAAAGCTACGCAACAGGACAACTAGTAGAGCGCTTCGAAACATGAAATTCTAGAGCGGAAACTAGAGGTGTATGGTGCAGTCCCGCACAAGTTACAAGTGTACTGTATGAATGGACCTGGATATACCGGAACTGAATCGAACTCCTATGACGAGCATTTAGCAGTTCTAACACACTCAAATATAAACAGAAAATGCCTAAAAAGTTGAGAAACCCCTAGAAACGACATACTTATCAGACCGGCCCAAGCTATCATTCGCAGAAAGGTCGATAACTCCATTCTGTTGTCCTTTGGTACCTCTCACATTGTGCTTTCCACTGCTGTTGTTGTCCCATGAATGAGCGGTTTTCACACTCTTACGCCCCGTTCCGATCATCACAGGCTTGTGAACATCACCATTTCCTCGCCAATAGTCGCCCAGTGTCTTCACTGCCTTAACCTTCGCTAGCCCTTTTTGATGGTCCAACGTATCTATCGGCGAGGGTGCCTTCAGAGCATCCATTCCACTGCCAGCGTCAACCATTTCCAGATCAATCACATCGGGCGCTACTTTGACTGCCGAAGACAGAGCGCTGCTCTCCTGGGCGGCTAGTATCGGTTTAGTATACATCCGGGTACTGGCACACTCATTTATATAGGGTTTCTTCCCTTTGCCCTCCTGCTTGTCGCCCGGTGACAATGCATTACCCGTACTCGTTTTTGACACGCCTCCGTGAGACCGCTTCTTGGAGATGTTATCTGGTATATCTGTAGACACTTCTGCCACCGCTGCGCAATTCTTGCTGACATTAGCCAACACTGCGTGTGTTAGATTTCTATTCATACCAGCGATGGTGGTCGGCACCTCACCAAGTTGAATATGGCTGTCCACTGCGTCGTCTGTGTCGGAAGCACCCTCGTGGCGTGCCTCCTTTGAGCTTTCAACAGCAGACGCCATGTTGCCTTTACTATCTGCAAGTACTCCAATCATATCCACTTCTTGCTCCGCGTCTATTTTGTCTGTAGCCGGGTTCTCACTGAGGCCTACACTTCGAGGTGAGCCGGTATTTGCCACCTCAGCCACACAGGCGTCTTCAACTGTTTCAGATCCAGCGGCAGCGCTTTCGTACGAGGACTTTGCAGATTCACTGGTCACTTGATCTTTTAAGTAACTGTCCTCCAGTTTCGCCGCGTTCGAGCTTGTTGTACACGCGGCTCGTTCTGAGGCCGACAAGCCCGCCTTTGCTGTAGGGCTTGTGCTGTCATCGTCTGAGGAGATATCGGTGATCGTTAACTCCGCCACCACAGCGTGCGCTTGGTCAGTACTTTTTCTCTTTTCAACAGCTCCACCTGTGGCAGTACTGTCAACGTTCCCAGTAGAGTCATACACTTCACTTGTAGGACTGCCAGCACCAGTCGAGTGTTTACCATCCCGATTAACTCCTGCAGAATCATTACTCTCTTCATCCACAACCATATCATTACCGTCACTATCTACAGAAACCTCATGGTTGTTCTGAGGGCCACTTCCATCGACAACGACGTTCTCATCACCGTCATCACTTGTTGTGGGGATCTTCTTATCTTGTTGCATGATACCTTTTTCTTCATTCACAACCTGACCACCACCATCACTAGCTGCAGTGGGGTTCGTATCTACTTGGGCTACAGCGGCAGCATCAGGCGACGCACCATCCGCTACTGACCCCATTGTTACAAGTGCAGCTGGTCGCTCTACCGAATATGTATTCGCACAGGTAGTAGTACTAGAATGTTCCACACCTACGACGGGAACTCTATTTGGCTTGATCTCTATAAAATCCGCACGAGTTTTGACGCGCTCTTTTGGTTTTGAATCGATTTCAATGGTATGAGTAGTAGCTATGCACTTGGCCACCGCTATAACTGGGATGATCTTAGTATCCCACTCTGATTCCTCGCCTGTAACACAGATGGAGCACACAGGAGACCCTCCTTTCTCCTTTGCGATATTGTTAGTTGATTCTATACTCACGTCAACAGGATTCATTGGCTCACTCTCTGCAGCCACTGTCGGTATCGTTCCACTGTCTCCTCCATTAACTATTTCCACATTCTCTTTATTTACCGTGTCTTTCTTACCGACACTCGCACCCACAACCATCAATCCGTCACCGACCAGTCTATGTCCCGGTTTCTCAAGTTGGTGATCAGGACCTTTAGCATGTGTGCCCAGAGGCTGAGCGAGTACAAAGCTTTCAGGTGCCTCCACTCTCCCAGCCAACACCTTGCAAGTGGGTGCCGGTATGTACTCGTCACCCACTGGAGACGAAATGCGATTAGTGTGTATTGTGGTGCGATAGCAGTGAGGTTAGTGAGGGCTTGTCACGGATGTGTAGGCGTACACAAAAAGCGCGCGCTTTTTTTTTCGGGGATTGAATTCATATTTCACTCAGTGAGGCTTCGAATTGATTTTTCGGCGTTTGATACTATTTTATGTGTATACTGATATGTATGTATATATTTTTATGTATATATTCCAATACATCTATTTACATATCATTTGCTGCCCTCTATACTAGGACTGTAAGGGTACGCACCACAGCAAAAAAACATACACAGCTACATGAAACATGTTAAATATACTTTGTACTCCTGCTTTATTTTCCAGTTTGATCATGAATTGAGAAATCCAGATTCGAGCAGGCACTCGTGCCCAAATTGACGTGGTATAGGTCTACCGCAGGCGCAGTGTAATTGAATTCCAACCAGTGTGGGATAGCAATCGAATCCACCACCAGGCATAAGCTTCGCCAGGACCATGTGCTGGTATCACAACTCGCACCTGCATTCGTTTTTACATCCGCACGCGATGGTGTTTGCACGTCAGTTGGCTGAGGCAAAGAGTTATCTTTGCTTCGACCATGTGACTGTAATTGTAGCGCAATATAGTCGATTCCTATGCCCAACCCTGCGTTCACGGCACCCCAACCAACAAGCACGTTGTCGGCGTGTGCAGATGCATCACCCGCCATTTTTTCCCCACTGAAAGTGATATGGCTTGCTTGCGCTGAAGCCAGTGGTGAATGTATCAGAAAAGAGCGTAGACTGTTCCAGTCCTCCGATTTGCTCTGGAGCATGTACTGTTGCACCGTTTGCTTATTAAATGGTACGGATTGGTCTGTCTTCAAAAAGGGAAGAACCTTTCCGGTGTCAAGGCAGAACACAGCGGCTGGCTCGATATTATCCACTACAATCTCTTCACTACCTGCGGAAAGCAAATAGTGAGGGAATAAGTCGGTGATTTGGAAAAGCACGTTGAATTTGGAGTGATTTTTATAGTCAGATAATCTAAAAACGTACATGCTAACCACTTACAGATGCCTGCAAACAATGCTTGACCATTCACCTGCATATACAAACGTCAGACAATGCGGCTGGCATGTACGAGTATGAACAAATAAACACAGGAATATATATATATATATATATATATATATATATATATATTATATATATACATATACATACATATATATATATTATATATATATATATATATATATACACCACACACACACACGCACACACATACACACACACACACATATATATATACACACACACACACACACATATATATATATATACACGTATGCTGAGAGATACGCATGCACAAGTATGTAATGTACATGCAATAACACTCGTGTACACACGCAACCCACGCATACATATACAAAACTTTACAAAAGTAAAAATATAAATACATAAGTATATAAATACAGCAGTATATAAATTTCTAAACATCTTAAGATGAAAAGAATCAATATATCAATATATCGATATATGAAAATATGAAAATATCAATAAATATATATATATATATATGCGTATTTACGTATGTATACATATTAATCTGGCATATATTGAGGATGTCGACGAAAATCTTTGTAGGTTGATATGAACCTACCAAGCTTAAATTGGCCATACAAGTGTAGCAAGATGGCTGGTTTTGAACAGGAGGCACCAATTTCCACAGGCGATTGAGTCCGCAATTTAGAAAATATTGCGGGATTAAGCGACGCCACGAGTTTCGAGGATATCAGGTCGGGCAGAATCGTATGCAAATCTATTGCCACCTGCGACAATGCAATGGGTACGCATGAGGACTAAGCAATACACCGCGTAAGCTGTCGTCTAGAAAGATTTGCATAAAAAAATGTTTTTCTTCGTCTGATCTAGCCTGCATACCTTCGGCACTATACAGTTGTCGGTCTCCAAAGATTGGTCGTAATTTGATTGCAATATTGATGTTTTATGCTGGGTATCATAATAGTCTGCAGCATTTCTCAGCAACGCAGAAAGTTCTGCACTCTCCGATTCATCAACTCTATTGGTGACTACCGGAGGTTTCTTCGGCACACCGGGAGGCGATGTAATAAAATCTGTACTACCATGTGGAAAATCATCTAAACTAACTTTCTCATGGGTATGCGAGGGGGTTTCGGAGGATATCGATGCACTGGATGGTACGGGAATTGGATCTCTGATCGATCCGCGTCCTGCCAGCGTGACCTCCTTAACGATCTCACCATGACAATTGGATACAGACTCTTTTGGAGGTGAACTTTCCCTCACATTCTTGACACCTACATACGCCTCAGAAGTAGCATCAACAACCGTAAGCTGGTCATTGTGTTTTGGCGCATGTACTTCCGGAACATCAGTTTGCTGGGGTGTGTCACCACCTGCTCTTGTCGTAGGTATAGTATCTGCAGTAAGTTGACTATTAGATATCGGTACACGAACCTTTGTTGCAGCAACTTGCTGCCTTGTGCTACAAACTTTAACACCCACCAATGCAGCCAGTTTGCTATCGTGATTTCTAGATACACCGTGGGCACGGCCGCATGCCGAGAGTACGTTGTTAGACACGGTTTTTGAACTTGTCGCATCCAGAGAATTGGGCCCTATCGTCCCTTCCACGGTCGAAACGAGACCTGCGAAATGTCGTTGAGGAAAGCTTCAATACACACGAATTAAAGTAAAAGCTACTTTGTACAATTGTACACAACGATAGAGCAAATACCACTAGATATGAGTGATGAAGGTAGTCGCAAGAAACTTAACAATCACATCAAAACTATACAATATCAAATGAGGAAGGGGACCTAAACATGTATGGAATTTATGACTAAAATAGTTTCTATAATTATGTTTTAAATATGAAATATTTCCGACAATGCACGTATCCATAACAAAATGCGTACTACAGTATTCCAATTATACATATAAGTACATAATGCGCACGAAAACCAAAAATCGCAAAAAACTCACCCATCAATTCACTCACGTACGCACCAAACACACACACACATACATACTCATAGTCACAGTCACAGACACAGACAAAGACACATTTATAAATACTCAAATATATATATATATACATACACACACACACACACACACACACACACACACACACATATATATATATATATTGACCATACACAACAACACACAATTATATACTCAATGTAAACTCTATATATAGTATATATGTATATTATTATAACATTATATATATATA